AAGCCAAAGAAGTGATGGAAGGAATTGGAAGGGTATTCAAGTTCAAGAAAGGGAAGATTGAACCTCCAGAAAGCTACCTGGGAGCTAGGTTACGAAAGAAGACTTTGGATGGACACGACATGTGGACGATGTCAAGTTATGACTACGTTATGGCAGCAGTCAAAAACGTCAAGGAAACATTAAAGGACAGCCCAAAATGGAAAGTGCCCAAGAATGCGCCAACGCCGATGACTAGTGCCTATGAACCGGAGATGGATGGATCAAGCGAATTTGGACGAGAAGACCATACCTACTTCCAAGAGTTGATTGGGATATTACGATGGGCGACAGAGATTGAACGAGTCAATATCTTACTGGAAGTATCACTCCTGAGCCAGTATCAAGCAGCTCCAAGGGAAGGACACATGTAACAAGCATTGAGGATATTTGCTTTCTTGGACACTTTCCCAAAATTGACCCTTTATTACGACTGGAGGACGCCAAACGTAGACTATTCCAAGTTGAGATCCTCCAGGGAAGATTTTGAGGCATACTACCGAGATGCGACGGAAGAGATGCCACACAACACACCCAAACCAAGGGGACGAAGTGTAGGAAGTACTGCCTGGGTAGATGCTTCACATGGCGCCAATAAGAAAACGCGGAAATCACATACGGGGTACATAATTTTCCTCAATCGGGCACCTATCTTATGGCACAGCAAGCGACAGAATACGGTAGAAGCGAGTACTTTTGGTTCCGAATTCATTGCTTTGAAGTCATGCATTGAGGCGATCACTCATTTGAGATTCAAATTGAGGATGTTCGGAATACCTTTGGAAGAAGGACCATCGCATGTATTTTGCGACAACGAGAGCGTGGTGACGAATTCAACAATGGTCGAATCCACTTTAAACAAGAAGCATAATTTGATTGCTTATCATTACACCAGGTGGAATGTGGCTGCAGGAGTCGTCGATGTATCGTGGATCGCAGGAATGTTGAACCTCGCTGATGCCTTCACAAAGCGATTGACACTAGAAAGGAGAGGGCGACTATTTGGGGAATGGACGTACTAGACAAGTTATCGAACTGGGTCCCAAAGTTGGAACCCAATTCGAGGGGACCAAATGAAGGCTACCGTGCTATTGCACACGCATGCAATGGTTCGTGTCCGTAAGTGAACGGGATCGGCCTTCGCGGAAGCCTGTCGATGAAACGACGATAACACACTCTTTTTAAGAATACGATTCGATCTACGTTACTATCTTTAACATCTACTACTTCGTAAGTCAACACCCTCGTAATAACATAACGATTACATTTATACGTGGGGGCAAATCCGGGGGAATAGAATCGAGAAAAATACAAGTCGAAAAATCTAGAAAGTAAGAGTAACAACAATGGCAAAGAAAAGAGCATGTATATCATTGGTCATGTATTACTACCACAGTGAAAATACTTTCCACACCTCACGAGCCCTCAAGTACAACGTCTGCATTTGGCTTCCGGCAATATACTCCTGCTCCCTTGCTCACGCCGTTCCTGGAACAGCTACATGTCCAAATTCCCTTGCAAATTCAGCACCATCGCTAGGACTTCCCTGGCCTTTCATTGGTTCTTTACTCTTCATCAGTACTTCTTGTTCGGCGCCTTGTTATTGTTGATGCCACAGGAGGACCTCATCCTCTCCAGATCGACCATTGCCACTCTTGCTATTCTTTTCGCCCTCTGGTCCCCTCAGTATTGCCCTTGTTTGCCCATTCGCTGTCACTTCTGCCTCATGTGAAGAGGATCTCCAAGCGCTTCACCGACCTCCACCTGATTGCAGCCTTGACTTGCTCTCCCTTCTTGTCCACTTTATGTGCTGCCTTGAATGCCCGATTGGTCCCCTGGTGACTCCTCCGCTTTCCCTACTGCCATGATCTCCATCACTCTCATGATCGCAGATCTCCAACTGATTGATCTCCCCTGCTTCTCAATGGCCTTTTGATTTCGTGGCCCTCTTGGAACTCACTCTTCTCTGTTGGTTTCACCGTTCCCATTGCTGTGAACTCCTCATTAGCGCCTCTTCCATCTTCGGTTTAGGGGTGAAATTGCTAGTGTTTGCTATGCTCTAGAGCAGAGTGGTTTGAGCCATTCTACGACCCTTGAATGCCAGAAAGTGATCTGGACCATAACGCACCCTTTTGATATAACGTTTCTGTCGTCTACTAGGTGTGCCAATAAGTGTGATTTGGTCCCAACAAGATTGCTGATTGCTGTTCTTTTTTACTTGGTGGAAAGTCATCGCCAAGCTATTAGATAGTTGCATGCCAATGAAGCCCAGCACAGGTGTAGAATCGGTTTCCTGAGATCGCAAAGAATGTATGGGCGAAAACGGTGTAGGAAATCCACTACCAATCGCAACCAACACTTCGCATACATAGAACATCTGGCCAAAAATCCAAAGGGTATCCTCGAACAATGGTCCCAGTATCATCTTAAGATATTGTGGCGGGATATCGCCATCTTGACCGGCACGGAATCGCAACTGTCCAATATCACAAGTCTGAACATGACGAACTGGATGCTAAATATTGTAGCGAAGTTGGCCCATTTTTTGGTTGCTGCTGCTTGGCATCTCTTATTTTGGTTTTCCGACGAGGCAACCACGTCGCTCGGCAGGAGACCATGTTTCATTTGCAATTCCCGCCCCAATCCTGAGCGAAACGGTGGCTTATCGTCCATCGTCGCAGCCATCAGAGATGATTCCTATAATGTTGTAGGTTTAAGTTTTCGTTCTCTCATCGTCAATATGGCTCGTCGCAGTCTTGGGTTGTCACACGTTTTGTTGTTTTGTAGTTTGGAAGGCATCACAATATTTGACCACTGTGACACACAATTTTACCCCCTTTGAAGCCACGAACCAACTATTTTTGGGAAAAAGCCAGTAGTTTAGGGAGACGTACGATATCTCGTAGGTATATTTGCCTACTTATTTTTCGTCGAAAAATAGCATGACCCAACTATTCTTTGTTTTTAACCTTGGGCTACGTTTACTCAAAATTGAACTGTTTCACACGATAAATCTAAAACATTGGACAGGAATTGTAAATCTTTTATCAAGCGAATCAATTATCTCCGGGTCATTGAAGACCCAACTATATATTATTTAATAGTTTGGTCTCTTTTCGGCACAACTATTTTTTTCTTACTAATTTTTTTTTTGGCTCGACCAATCACGGCTGCCCAACAACAAAAAAAGAGTTGGATTGGGTTCATATTGACCCCTAATACATCGAAGCTGGTTCATCATCACCGTACATTTTGGTATCCCCATTGTCCCTTTTCGAATCCTATGATTCGACCTAGGTGCAAACCAGTCACTAACTTAGTACCTCGCTACTGTGCCAAACCTACTCGCTTCTCGTATGTAGCATCAGGCTTTTGCCACAGTTTCCATGGTAGCATACGTGCGCGATCTCTCCAGACAAAGAC